CCCCCCCCCCCCCCCCAAAATAAAATCACTGGTTAAACAATGCCTCTTCTGTCTTCTGTTTGGGATTAACCACATGCTGCATTGCCCTTCACCCTCTTTACATCAACCTTCGCAGTCATCCAAGGCACCAACACACGTTCAGAGCTGCAGCTGCTTTCAGGCAAGTACAGAGAGAAAGAGGGAGAAAAAACAAGCAAAAAACAAAAAAGACGGAGGGGTTCTGGAGTCATCTGTGTGAGGCATGAATTACCCGAGTAATGGTAGCAGGACAGATGATGTGTCTTTGGGAAGATCGGATCCCTCAGCATCAGCAGAGACAGAGCAGCCTGAGGGAAAAACAAAGCAGATTTAGAGGAAGGGGTTAGAGGTTGCAATGAGTTGGGTTAACCGCGCTCGTCTTTCCTGCACACTCTACCGAGCGTTACAGCAAAACCGGGCTCCATCGGGGTTGAGAGAAGTCGTCGAATCGACTCTGTTCTCTTTCAGAGAAAAACCATCTGACGGCGCGTGAATGTAGGAAGACGGCAGTTTGAGCCGGACTGCTGCAGAGAGTGGGCGCTTTGGCTGCCCCCTCCTCGTAGTTTCCTAGACAACATCGGTCCGGTGCTGGTCGCTAGGGCCTGAAATCTCAACCTACAGCACCGTGAGAGCTCGGGATCAGGCTGCCAGGACGTTGGGAGCAGACTTCAATGAAGATGCAAGAACTCAGTTTAGATCTTGTTAATAGAGATCTTTCTGAAGTCTTTCTCACAGTACGCAAAAAAAACAAACAAACATTGTTATTAGGTATTAAGCCTACAAATAGCACTTGACTAAAAAAAATGCAAAAGTTTGTTTGTAATTTTTCTTTCTTGAGGTTTACCTGGTCAACTATAGACTTTTCTTTAATAAAATCTGAATATCAATAAATATCCAAAGCATAAAAAGGCCTTATTAAAAGAAAAATAAATAATTTCAAAATGTTTGACTTGTGGTCTGGAGCCAAACAGACCACAAGTCTGTTTGGCTCAAGAGCCACAAACGGCCCCGGGGCCTCACTTTGGACACCTACGATCTAGATTTAAAGTCAGTGGCAGGACTTGGATATTGCTGCTGTTAAACGCTCTGTGTCCAACTGTGTTGTATTTAGAGGCATCAGAGTAAATAAAAATGCCAATAAATCATCTCTGAATTTTACAAATAAAAATATTTTGGAAGCTACTTTTCAATCACATAAAGCTAAAAATAAAACACAACAAACTTTCCCAAAACATGACAAAGTCAAGTGGCAAGAATGTCTTTGCAAGGCACATCGAGTTCCATTTGTCCTCTCCTGTTGAACTGGGGAAGTAACTCACACTATTTACCAATAATCGTTTCCTACCTCATTACTAAACGATTCTCTCAGCTGAAGTTCGAGTCAACCGAGTGCAAAAAGAAGCCGAGTTTTATTTCGCCCGTCTTATCCGGGCACTAAAACATTTTAGATGGCTGCTTGAGGTTAGCCTCTGATTTCATTAGTGGCCTTCTTGTGATGCAATCAGAACGGGGCACAGAATGTTTTATTCCTGCGGCATGGGCGTGGCACTTATTATTTGTCTGCTCAGTTTCAGGAGGTTTGAATCACAACGAGTGGCTCTGAAATTTTAGCCTCAATAATAACAAATCGGTTGTCTTCATCTTGCCGGCAAATCTTTCAAAAACCCTCCTGTTTGAACCGGCCACTCCTAACCGGCACATGTCTGCAACGAAGATGGCACAAGTGTGACACGTGGTGAAAAACCTCATTATTCGCCAGCAGTTTGCGATCCGCTTTCACCGATCGACGAAAGTGCTAAAATGTTTGTTTCGGCTCTTGCAGCCCACACCGCTCTGCAGCGAGGCAGCGGGGGCCACAGGCTATATACAACCTGGGCGGGTTTACTATCACAGTCATCTCAGATCACCACAGAGCATCAGCACAAAGCAAAGTGAAAATCTAGAGATCAGTCACTTCCGTTCAACAACAACCAGCGCAGGCTGGTGGAAGGACGGTCAACGCTCGCGCTTTCACAAACCCGAGAAATAAAAAAAAAATGGCTAAGAGGAGATATGAGATTAGAGAAGGGTTGTAAATTAGATGTAGCAGATTTTATTAAAACCTCACATTTGCATGTGGCCGGTTTGGGTTGTAGTTTGAAACCTAGGTGAGGAAGTTTTCAGCTAATAATTTAGACTGCTTAGCTGAAGCGCAAGTTTTAATTATTGTGATTGTACATCGTACGTCGTTTTGTAACACACTAAAAATCTTTTTGCTTTGGTTTTCTTTACACAATAGCTTACTCTAAAGAAGTTAGATTAGCGTCACAAAGTACTAAAAAACCTAAATACAAAGACAAAAAATAAAATAAAACTGGAATCTGATTTTGTGCAATTTTAAAAAAAGTTGTTCTTATAGATGTAAAACTCACAGAGTGGAGGCACAAAAAAAAAACATTTGTGCCAGAGTGTCTATGTCAGCACTGTCATTTTAAATTCCGACGGATCTTGTGATGTTTTGATGGACGAGACCAACACTAAAAAGTTCTCCATCTGTTTTGTCGACACGAGAGCAAAAAGCGTTTCGACCAAACAGGATCAAAGGATTTGCACGCGGTCGATGTAAACTTTGGAACTGCCGTTTACATTTTTCTCATTCAGTTTAGAAATCTAAACTGAAATCTAAAGAGATTGGTTTTTTTTTGGGGGGGGGAGGATATCCCAAAGGAAAAAAAACAACATACCTGCACTTAATCAGCACAGACACAAACCCTGTATCTGAACAGGCAGAAAAGTCGTGGCTCTTCTATCAGCTTGTGGGAGCGTTAGCCCGTTTTTCTATTATTCATACAAATTGCCGTGGAGTCAGTCGGTATGGATCGCTCGGCTGCACTCACCATTATGTCCCCTTTGGACTCGTATAAACAATGGTGTGCTAACTCCTGGTTGGTGCCTCCTCCGTATAAAACGCTGGAACAGGCCAGGTGCATGAGGTCTTCCACTGAAAGAAAAGTCGACAGCAAACGTTAAAATGTCAGCGTGACCATAGCAACTGCGCTCTCAGGATTTATTTTCACCCCGTATTTCCATTATGAAAGACGATAAAATAGAGAAATCTGGAATCTAAGTGAGGCTTGTTCTGTAAGACACTGAATGATTATTCTACAGAAGTAGCTTTAGTCTATTTGCAATCACAGGAGCTAAAATTGTTCCAATTTCCTTTCTCGGATTGTTTGTCTCACCCTTGTCCTGGAAGTCTGGTTTCCCCTCCAGTTCGGACGGTGGAGCCCAAACCAGTTCGGCTCGATGGCGATCCAGTTCGACAGCGGACCTCTGCCTCAGCTCTGGCACCTCCGCTTGGTACCGCGACCCGATATTTATTCGTCTGCAGAGGTGATATCAGAACATTAGAATCAAATACATTAGGATTTCCAAAAGTTGTTTCCGTTTTTGAGCAAAACTTGTGTTGTCATTTGTTTTTTTTTATTATTATTTTTAATTATTATATTGCTTCGACACTGAGTTTTTGCTCTACAAGTTTGAGTTTTTCCCCCAATAAATTACTCTTTACAATGAGGTCCATAATAAAAAATAAATAAAAACATAAACACCACAGCGGTTGCTGCGGAAACAGATCTGCAAGCTGCACAGATGTTGGAGTTTTAAAGTAAAACTCTTGAGTTTATTTGCATTAAAACGTCGTTCTGTGAAAAGTCATAGAGAACGCTGCAGGCGGCACTCCTGCTTAAAGCTTTCCTGACAAAAAGCAACATCACATCAGATAACTACATCACAACATAACTAAATCATTGCTAAGTCATTAAAGGTATATTATTAAATAACCTCCTATTCTTTTTCTATGCAAACCTCTAAATGGATATTCATGTTTCACTTCAATTTGTTGCCACCGAAAACAGCTCAGACGGTCCCCTTCCTCTTCTGCGTTTCCCACGAGCTTCGCCGTATTTCCCGCTAAGTGCGTGTGAGTGTACTCTAGCAGCCCCCTCGAGGCAAGGTGGGCCGGTAGAAACCGACCCGCGATGGCTCCTGTGTGTTTCAGGAGACTGATCTGAAAGCATGATTTGTGGAAAAAGCCCGAGTGCTCTGCGGCTGAGCAACTGCCGAGCATCAGCTGGGCCGAGGCTTGGAACAAAGCGACGCCGTAAACTGCCGCTCTTTGCCGACGCGGAGACAAACACGAGGCCACCCTCTCGGGCACGCCTGCTACAAGACTTCGCATTTCAGTTCACGGAGGCTGGGTTTGGATTGGCGATTGCCTTTAATGAGCTTCAACAATAAATTCAGAGAGTGCCAAACTCTTCCCTTTAAACTGTTGTGTTCAAATAAAAGCTATTAACTTTAATAAATCTGTGTAAATAGAGGATAAGCGCATCCTTGCCGCAATCAGAAATTGACAAAGCAGCAACAAGGTGCTGCTGATCATTAATCTGCTTTGAACTAGTTAAGGAAACCACCACCGTGTCGTCTGGCCCAGTTAGGGTCTAGAAATGGGTTTTATGATTCTAAACACAGATACAAATCTGCAGAAGAACAACAGAATGACAAAGAATTAAGGTACTGGAATGAATCAGTTCCAGACAAAATATCTCTGTCTCTCTCTCTGTGAAATGCTTATTTCCTGTAAGTCTCATAAAACTGATGCAGTTTAGATGAATGAACAATCAAGTCAGAGATTATTGATATTAAATCATGGGTAACGAGAGTGGCAACTTTTTTTTTGTTTATTTTTTGCTGAAAGTGGCAGTACGACAGGTTACGACTGAGGTAGCATTTGATTATTTGTTTATTTTGAAGACGCAGACAGAAACTTTAATTTTTATGCCCTTTGTGTCCGTGTAAAGCAACATAAAGAAAATAAAACAGAACGTATGGGTTCAATCCAGGATAATGGATCAGAGTAAAGTCAATGCATTTTTAAACGGTAATCCTTAACCAAACTCAATTAATTTATACCTCTTGTTCCTCGGCCCAGCCAACATTTTTAACATCAACAATAAACTCGCTAGCAATTGGCTAGGATTTTAGCTAACTGCTCTGAATCAAAACATGACAAAAAGTAGCAAGAAGTGAGTTTCTACTGAAGAATGTAGCTGCATGTGTCGAGTCAGGTATGCTTTCAGTAACAAAAGTACAAAACTTCTGTTATGACAGGACCGGCCATGAAAAAAACAAAAAACAAAAACAAAGCGTCGTTGGTGGACTGACTGATTTTTGTTGTTGTTGTACATAAATCGGACACTTTGTTTAGAATTGGAGTTGCATAAATAAACCGAACTGACATAATCACAACACCAACGTATGCCAGGTAATACAGATGAAGCACAGTGTGTTATTTTACTGCAATTTAAGTTACTGAGTGTTCAAGCGTGTAAATGGCGTTGAATTTTATGAAGCATCGGCAGGACTTGGTTATTGACACGAGCCTAAATGACTCGAGCATCGGTGCAACATGGTAATCAAGCTGAATGTTTTCAGGAACTTAACTTTTAGAAACCTTTCATTATACGGTCTCTTTCTGCATCCTGAGAACAAAGAAGGGCAAATCCTGGTTTTAGACGGTCGAGTGGCAACAGTGGTGGAGACTACAGCCGCATTTAATGACAGGTTTAGAGTTTCAAGAACCGGCGATCTCCTCCGAGACGATTTATGACTCAATCCGGAGTTCTTTTGAATAATTGATCGCAGGGCTATTCCTCCGGCTAGGATAATGCGAGCTTTCGGAGGAGCGGCGTCGTCTCTTTGAAAATGTCAGTCGGCCTTTCGAGCCGCTCGCTTCCGGAAGTGAAACGGGATACTCACGGCTCGATGCTGACCGGCGTGGTCTCACTCATGGCGGACAGCACCGGTGGCGTGATGTCGCAGCTGTCTGGAGAGCGGCGAAAGAAAATACAGTCGGTTGACAATATACAAGGGTCTCATAGTTTTGCTTTAACAATTGCTTTGTTCTTTTCAAACTGAACTGCAAGAAAGCAAATGTCAATATGAGTACATTTTATAACAGTCCAGCAAATCTGACCTAACACTGTAAGGCAACCCGGCCCACCCAGGTCTTAGCTTTACCTGCCAGGAAAAGTCGCATCTGATAGGATAACTATGGAGCAACTAACAATTATTTTAGTGATCAGTTGATTTACGGATTTTTCTGACAATTAACTGATTAATGGGATCTAAATATTGGCACCTTCTTCAGAATTTTTATTTAATCGTTTTTTTATGCAATATGAAAAAATGCATCAAAAGATGCAAATCAACAAATAATTCAATTCCTTTTTAAAATAAAATAAAGATTCTCTTGCCTAAAATGCAGCCACACAGAATTCGTTTAGTGAGTATAATTTAAAGCAAATGATCCAGCTGCAGGTAAAAAATGGCGACACCTCAACCCTTGCTGCTAGACTTGAGGATCAATAAAGTATATTCTATACTATTCTACTCTGATCATTGCTCAAATAGCCTTTTAATGAGCCTGTATACCCCAGTTAATGATTAATCGATGACTAAACGTGTTGACGATCATTTAAATAACCAATTCTTCACGATTAATTCGATTAAATCCTTTCAGCACTAATTGGATCCAAAATGTAACCATAAGCTAGTAACAGTAACGAGATTTGTTATTTAATGTGCTTATGCTTCCACATAGCTTGTTGCAGATGCCCTTGAACTCACTGGAACGCAACAAGCTGCGAGTGGCTGACTTGGGAGTCGCAGGAGGGGGCAGGCCCGGACCACTGGCTGCAGCCGACGAGAGGAAGGTGGAGAAGTAGAGGCCCGAGCCCTCCCGAACGGGGCTGAGGATCGGCGGAGGCGTGTACGGGGGCATCGTGATCGGGTTGTCGGCGAGGCGAACGGGGGAGCGGAGGTGGCTCTGGTAGGGCGTGATGCTGGAGTAGACGGGCGGAGCGATGAACAAACTTGGTTTGGGCGGCGGGATGAAGAGAGGCTCCGGTCGGGGACGCCGTTTGGACTTCTTGCCGTCGTCGTCCCTCTCTCCCTCCGTGCCGTCATTCTGGAGAGAAGGAGGTGGGAAAATTGATTACGGTGACATCCGCGTGTGCGGTGGCGCTTTGGGATCGAGACAAAACGTGAAAGGTAGACAGCAAAGAGCGCCGGGCCTTAAATGTAAGGTACACAATGTACAGAATCAAAGTGCTGCTAATCTGGCCTGATCTGGGACAGGGCATCCAGTTCACCTCCCCCTAACCCCCAGCTGAATGAGGGGAAAGGGAGAAGATGGGGGAGGGACAACATGAAATACCGCATGGGGAAGGGGCAGTATGTCTGTAGGGCGACGTGCCATGAATTCAAGGATTTAAAGCTGGAATTAAAACAGACAAAATCCAGGACGTTGGATTATACCCCACAGCTCTAAGGAAGGTCTTCAGCTTGTTTTTATTACAGCGTGTAAAATGACATTGAACGATGCGACAGAAAACAAAACAAAAAACAACAACAAACAAACAAGAAAGGTGAGCACTCACCTGCTCTGAACTTTCCGACAAGGAGTTTCGGAGCGAGCGTCTGCGGGTGACGATGACCGAGGGTTTGTGATCGGCTCGCCCGAGGTCCTGGTGGCTGGGAGGCCGGTGAGGCCAGCTGGTTGCCACGGCTGCTCCATCCCTATCCGGAGACGAGGGGTCCTGTCTCCGAACGGGGACGGACACGGGGATGACAAGCGGAAGGAGGCTGTCGTCTCGGGGCCGCTTGGCGCTCATGCTCTCCGGTTCGGCGGGGCTCCACGGCCTGTGAGGCTCCTGATCAATACAGCAGAGCAAAAGTATCGATGCTCGTTAGGAATACTGTCCACTTCGTGACACGAGACAGAAGCTGGGTGCACATGTGCTGGCCGGCATCGGTAAAAGATGAGCAACGAGTCTTAAAATGCACTGATCTTAAAAAAAAAAACAAAAACAAAAAACATCTTCAATCACCTTTAATCAATTTTAGGCATTCAAGGATTGCTAGAAGTATCAATAATTGTCCTAAAAGTGATTTTGACATGAAACAAAAGCATCTTATGTCCAAATTTAAGTATGGCGGAAGGATCTGTGATGCTCTGGGCCTGTTTCGATTAACCTACATTTTCTTGACACTTTTTTTTTTTTTTGGGACCGTTTCATAATGTTCCCCCACCGCTCATTGTGGCCTTTATCATCGCAGCCATTAAAAATATACGTCAGATACAGACATTATGCACATTAAGCATCCATTAAATTAATTAGCTGACACTTGAAGTATAATTGCAAGAGACTGATATAAAAGGACTCTTGATAATAGTAATAAGAGTCTATTAATAGCCTACCAATAACTGTGAGTGTTAGCAGTCTGTGACATTTCACAGAATAACAACTTAGCATATTGCATACATGCAAATCACTACATTACCCCATCCATTAAATAAAGATAAGCTAAAGTTTTTTTTGTTTGTTTTTTTTACAATACTGCTAAAAGAAAACAAGATACACCTTTTAAAGCATCTTTATCATAATGAGAGCCCACAAATTTCTCCGCTCATATATGAGCATTTGAACAAGTGCTATATTAAACATGAAAGAGAGCAAACTTCTAAGCAAGGCAAGTAGGACATTTGGACTGATGGAAAAGCAGAAATAAACTTTCAGGTTGAGCCCAAAACTTGAAACAGCAGCTTGCAGATTTTATCACAGTAAAACTCTCATGTGACTTGCTAAGGTCTGAAAATAACCAAAGATCAGCATAAAACTGCAAAAGGTAGTTTAGTTAATTTAAAAAAAAAAAAAAAAAGTTACTAAGCTGTTCAATCGGCATTGAACATAAAATAACCATTTAAATATGGACAGATTTGTACATTTAACCTCTTTCAGGTACAGGTTGGTGTTTTATGCAGCTTTGATGATATGTATGCTACATACTCCCTACTGCAAGGAAATGTTTTATTACTTTAGTAATTACCTACCAGTGAAAAGTCACCTAGAATTAGAATGGCTTGATCACGGCTAACAATCTGGCACATCTAAACTAGGATCAAAATGAAAATAAATGATGCCTAAAAAAAAACTAGCTTAAATATAGAAAGGATTTTACAAAAATCAAAAAATTTACGGATAACACAGATCACCCTCTTTAAAAAACCGTCATGCAAAAATAAAGTTTCTTCGGTCAGAGGCTTCTTCAAATTCGCTGTAATACAAACGGCTACAGGAGATCATTCCTGCCCACAGCCATCAGCATCTACAAGAACTCTTTGAAGAACCTTGAATTAATGTGATGTAGAATGACACTGAATTTCGCTTTGGAATTTTGAACTGAATTTAAATTTAAATATTTCAGAGACATGAGCATTTCAGTGGATATTTATATTCAATGGATATTATGCAGTGGTAAGATACATAGGGTATAAATGATTTGCTTAGAGGTAGAAAATGGAAGCAGGATAGAAAAATATGGGAAAGGAAGGAGCTCAAGAACCGAAGAAGTGAACTGACAGAGGAAACATAAGAAATTACAATCGCTGTTTTATTTTCATCAATATTATTTGTACTTTTATTGCTTTATTATCATCATCCTTTTCTAACTATATAATTAACATATCATTAAGTCAAAAATTTAGAAAATAAATCCAATTTCGTGGTAGACACTTCCTGTATTGTTTTTGACAGTCTGCACCCAGACTTTAAAACAGAAGCGTCACACTTTAGAGTTCAAACTCTACCACGGTTCACAAAAGGAGCTGTCCCCCTTTGCATTCTTCTTCATGTCCCTTTTTTTTTTTTTAATGTCTCTGAGAAACCACGATGACTGAGCATCAGCGGCCGTACATCAAAGCCGCGGTTGGCTCGGGTCTGCAGCACCTTCGAAACCCCGATCTCAAAACATCAGAAGAGTGTTGGGGCCAGACGCTCGCCGGAGAGGAACAAGGCTGCCGTGGCTACGGTGCGCACCATTATTGGTGGAAAACTCCAGCTCCCTCCAACACAGAAGTAGAGAGATATTCTGCTGAGCACTGCAGGCGAGGCAACCCTGAACCCCCCACCCTGCACAGAGGCTGTGAGGGGGGGAGGGCGGACCAAGCTGAAGGGTTTGCGTTTTTTTTTTTTTTTTTTTTTTAAGGGGGGGGGGGGGGGCAGGCATGGAACCAAAAAAAAAGGCTGCATGAACCGGGATTTTTGGG